CACACACACACACACACACACACACACACACACACACACACACACACATAGAAGAAGAAGAAGAAGAAGAAGAAGAAGAAGAAGAAGAAGAGGAAGGAGGAAGAGCAGTGGTGGAGCTGGAGGGAGACGAAGAAGAAGAAGAACCCTCTCGTAGTCTCACGAAGGTGGAGCCAGGATACTGACCAGCGTAAAGGTGTCTCCTTGGAGCTGTGATGCAGGTGGAAGACGCCTGAAGACAAGCAGGAGCTATGGCGCCAGGTAAGTCTGCAGGTATGTCGCCCAGAGCCTGGCCTCCGTGCTCAAACTCGTACTCCGATATTCTACCTACTCTCCACTGAAGCAGCGTGAAGACCTCAACCTCCAACTCTGCGTGGCTAGAATGAGGCTGGCCCAGCTATATATAACGCTGGGCCTACTGTGCTAGGCCAAAGGAAACAAGTCTGGCGCCCAAACTGCATCCAGGAACTGGCACCCAGACCTCCTACAGTCTGAAAACGAAAAGACAGGCCTGGCCCCAAAACTGGATGGCTGGCGCCCAAGACTGAATCCAAAACTGGCGCCCAACTGAACCAAGGCTGGATGGCTGGTGTCTAGACTGAATCTGGCCTAAGCAACGGCGACTGGACCTGTATCGGCCTACTCTGCTGGCAGATATACTCGGACTAACAGGAATGTCGCTAAATCGGACTGAAAACAGAGACTGAGGCCGACAAAGAAAACAATACGGAGGCCCAAAGGAAACAAAGAACCCCCCAACCTACAACAGGGCCCAAGGGTCCGTGTGGTGCATACCACGTGGTCCAGCTGTTCGGGTCCAGATGGTCCATCTGTTCGGGTCCAGATGGTCCAGCTGTTCGGGATCAGATTGTTTAGTTGTTCGAGTCCAGATGGTCCAGCTGTTCGGGTCCAGATAGTCCAGCTGTTCGGCTCCATATTTTCCAGCTGTTCGGCTCCATATGGTCCAGCTGTTCGGGTCCAGATGGTCCAGCTGTGCGGGTCCAGATGGTACAGCTGTGCGGGTCCAGATGGTCCAGCTGTGCGGGTCTAGATGGTCCAGCTGTTCTGTATCAGATGGTCCAGCTATTCAGGGCCAGATGGTCCAGCTGTTCAGGTCCAACTTCCTGGAACCACCCAAAAAAGCAAACATGTACATTTACTACGTTACAATTTTTTTTATTTTTTTTTGAAAACAGGTCCTTATGCGAGGATCTGGTTATCCTCGGTAAGCCTAAGGGGCCCTGTTGCAAATGTGCCCACCCTAAGTGAAGGCGGGCCTAACAAATCATGAGAGGCCCTTAGCTGTCAATGTCGTATTTGGGGCCCAGGCAGTTGTGACTCGCCAGTTGGTTGAGCAAAACACAGGCCGAGCAGCAAAAACATTCCACGGCCTTCCAGGCCTTTCTGAAAGTGCAGGCCCTGGGCAAGACTCACAGCCTCATACACGTACAGTTGGGAGGCCCAACCGAATGAGGCCCAGCAGCTGCATCGGAGGCACAGCCTCCTGGGGCCTACCGGAAGCTTCTGGGCAGAGGCCCAGGCCAGCCAGGCCACCAAGGGAGGCAGGCTCTTTCCATATAGGAAAAGCTTGCTGGCTGGCCAGGCATTCAGCACTTGCATGCTGGCGGCAGCGCTGCTGGCGCGGACGCTCGTGGGCTGCTGCTGGCGCTGAGAGGCAAGGTGCTAGCACGTGCGGTCGTGCAGGGAGCAGGGTGCGGCTGAGGGCAGCGCCATAGCCCAGCCTCCAGAGCTGGATGGGCTTGGACTACAGTGAGGTGCAGGGGTGGTCTTTGGGTGTACAGAGGGAAGACGTGGGTGTAAGTCAGGGGAGAGAGAGAAGGATGATGATGATGATGATGATGATGTGAGGGCACATACCTGGTATTGGCAATGGTCTGCTAAGGGCGACATCTTCAAGTACTTCGTGGGCTGCTGACATCAACAGTTGCATTGTCAATTAGTAGGCTGGTTGTAGCTGTGTAGGAAGTAGGCTGGGCGCCGAGCGCCAAGTAGGGAGATAGGGCCTGGGCACTCATGTTGGTGGTGGCGAGAGCAAGCTCTCATTGACATTGGTTTTCAGTGTTACGATTCTTCATTGGTGTTATATTGGTGCATTTCTGCTTTCTGGACACTGTGATACTATCTGGCTTTCAATGTGATTGTGCATTCTGGACATTGTCATCTCGCTATTGCTCGTTTTCCTTGCAATTATGGCCTTGGTCCCATATCCATTCTGGGGAGCTCGAGTCCGGTTCCTTTTTTCTTTTTTTTTCTCTTTAACTAACCTATATTCTTCTCTTAATATGCCTCCCACTACCTACCTATATACTACTAGCTTAGCACGGAACGCTGGGGTTATGGGTTGTGCAAGGAAAATGAAGGGCTGGCTATGGCGCTGCCCTCAGCAGCGCCTGTCCTCTTCCTCGACGCCCGCGCGCGCCCGGCATCCGCTAGCACACAGCAAGCAGCCCGCGAGCACATGCTCCAGCAGCACTGCCGCTTGCGCAAACCAGTGCCCGAATGTCCCCACCAGTGGCAAGCTCTTTCCTTTATGGAAAGTGCTCGCCCAGTTTGCTGTCTGGCTTGGCCTCATCTGTTTCCAGTGGCGTCCGTTTGGGCCAAAGTGTCCGCGCCCAGGCCTATTCAGACAGCGGCCTGGGACCGAATTGGTTAGGCCTGCCCAACCACCCAGGAGTAAACGTGAGGTTGTTCCTGCTTCACCTGTGCTGCTGGAAGAGCTTAGAAGGCTCACAAATTATTTCTGAGTCTCACAAGTATGGAGGATGTAACCAACTGGCGCGTGGCAACTGTCTGGTGCCAAACTTTGCCAAAATAGACGAACTCAGGTCATATTTAAATTGAGGGGCCCGCCTTCACTTAGGGCGGGCTCATGCTTGCTGAAAGGGACCCACAGGGGCATGCCAAGGAACTAACTCGTAACAAGGCCTCGTCGAAGATCCATGCCCACATAGGGGTTCCAACAGGCTCTGCTTGGGCCCCTCAGCCTGGTCTCATAGGCCTATAAACAGGCATTGGCACATATTTGTAGGCCCGCCTTCACTTAGGGCGGGCGCGGCCTTTCAGACACTGCCGAGGGACTAAATCTTCGCAGTTGGATTCCTGGCCTCCAGATTTTATGCCTCAGCAATTCCACCGGCAATGGCGGCAAGTCGAAATTACAAAACATGAACACCCTCACACTTCCTTTTCCGTCTGGCCAAAGGAACCCTGAACAGCATTGATTGCTCCAGCAGTGTGGAGGATTGACTGTGAGCTTGCCTTACATCTACCTTTCCTCTCAGGTCCAGTTGACTAAACCTGTTGGATCATATTTATCGTGAAAGCAAGAAAGGGATAGACGATGAGGAGAGCACAACCTCGAAACTTGCAGATTAAAACGCGGTTGCCAAGGAGTTTACGTAGCCTGTAAGGGAACTTGCCCATCTGCAGGCTGGCATCTCTGTCTCCTCAAGCCAGCTTCTGAACTGTGCCAGTCTTTCCACTACGTTACAAATTTGTGCTCCACTATTCGAAAATGTTAGTGGTCTTATCAAGTGACCTCTTTCAGGGGCCCTTGTTGTTTAACGTATTCGTATTTTTTTATTTTTTTTCCAGGTCAGGTGCTCCGGAACGTATTCGTAATTCAAAAATACGGTTTGATGCTAAGTATTGTCTTTGGTCCCGCTGTTTGGCTCCAGCTGGATGCTCGCAGTACACGAGTCCCCATGCAGCTGTTTGGGTCCACCACAACCGTGGGTGTTTTTTCAACAGAATCAGAAGGACCAGCGACACCTACGCTCAGCGTTCAAAATATCAACAAATGAAAGAACAAAGGCATGTTATGATCCTGGCCAATTTCAAAGTACAAATTCATGAGAAAGCACAAGGCCGCCCAATTGCAAGAGAAATGATTGGAAGAAGAAGAAGAAGAAGAAGAAGAAGAAGAAGAAGCTCGCCAACCACTCTCCTCCTCCTTTTCTCCTCCCCTCATTATTTCACAATAAAATTGAATAAATAATAAGAATAATGTTCAACGGCTGAACCAGAATCAATGTCCGAATCCCTCTTCCACTGCGGGTGCAACATGAGGTCCACCATAGCCATGGCCACCCTTCTCCTTCCTCTTCCGAAGGCCGAGGCTATGGCTGACTGCTAGGGCCTTGCCCTGCTGTGCAAAAGACAACTCAAAGCAGCTATGGCTGCTCTGGCTCAGGCCGCCATGCCTGACTAAGCTTCCTGATGTAGCTCTACCCCAATGGGGGCCTTCCAGGTGCAGCACCCACCAAGGTGATGAAGATGGCATCCACCATAGCAAGGTAATTACCTCTGGCGCTCTCTCCTTACTAGTTCTAGCCTTTCTCCTCTTCCAGCCCGAGCTCCACCACCATAGCCACAGAGGAGGGAGCTGGGCACTTGTTGCATACTGTAACGTGCAGACCAGAACAAGAACCGACCTTTCAATACAGAGTACAAGATAACACAGCGGAAGACTTAGATACCAGTGATCCGAACAATCAATGTTGTAATGCAGCCCTGAACATACATCATCATCATCGTTACAAGGTGTGAATGGGTCTGGCGCTTCACACAGGAAGACAGCGCCAGCCCATACCATACACAGACGAAGAGGAAGGGGATAGACGAAGAGTAGGGGGAAGATGGGAATGTCGTCAACACCAAGTCTTCGCACAAGCCCAAATAGTCCCTCGTYGGAATGTCTGAATCCCAAATGTCAAGTCTGGATCCAATGTCGTCAAGTCTCAAGTCACAACTCTGTCTCTCTCTGTCGTAGTCTGAGAAGTCAGGTGGCGAGAGGGTGAGAAGAGAAGGTGGACTTAGAAGAGGAAGAAGAAGAACTCTCTCTCTCTCTGTGTTGTGAAGCTGTCTCTTATACACATCTAGATGTGTATCTGTGTCCAGTACTAACCTGTGAAGTTGGCGCCTTGATGCAGGTACCAYGAAGATGGAGCTGGAGCRATGGCGCCACAGGTAAGTAACACTGGCCTCCGCCAGTCTCTCTCCCACTCTACGATCTACYACCTACCAGCGCCCAGCGCTGAAGACTACAGCTACAGCTATGGCGCCCAGCGCCGAAGACTACAGCTAGTGCTACCACTACTGCCTAGCGCTGAAGACTACTGCAGCGCTCCTCCTGAGTGCTGCGGCCGATATCCTGAAGACTACCTCGTGTCTACTGAACTACCTACCCGTGAAGTGCATGGGAACCTCCTGTGTACTATGGGTGTGCCTCTTGAGCCTGCCGAAGGGAGGCAGGGGCTGCAGCTGCAGCTCCTGCTCGAGYACGTGAGGAACAGGCTATTTTGGGAAACTCAGCAACAAACGGGAATCACAGCAAGGCATTCATTCCATTGGCGGAACTCAGAAATCAGCTGTGTGTCTCAGTCTGTGTTTGGCGGATCCTCACAGGCATGGAAAGTTCTGTTCAGTGTTTAGCCAAACGAATTCATTGCTTGACTCTGTGATTGACAATTTTAATTTTCGTGGAGGTTGCCATACACAGATTCTTTGGCACAATTTGGCAGTAAATACTAAATACTAAACAGTGAATACCAAAGTACCAAAGTGAGCATTACAGTCTTTGTTTGTAATTTTGTTTTGATATGCAGGCTTCTCTAAGCATCATATTCACGGAGCACTATGCCCGGTCTCCAGCAGATGTAGCTCCCACTGATAGATGGATCCTTTTTCTTTCCCTCCCCTCTTTTTGTGTTTCAAAAAAAAAAGGAACAATGCGGAGACTGCACTGAACTGAGGATTTGCCAGGTTCACAAGATTCAACTGTCTTTATCAGGCTTTTTTTTCCTTTTTCTTTTTTTGTTTAAGTCTCACCTGAAGTGAATTGACTGATCTCTTTGGCCACACAAATTCACACTCCTTCGCAGTATAGCCCTGAGGATAGTAATCAGTGCAGACATTTTGTGCCCATGCTCGCGCGCGGGCAAGAGAGAGAGAGAGAGAGAGAGAGAGAGAGAGAGAGAGAGAGAGAGAGAGAGAGAGAGAGAGAGAGAGAGAGAGAGAGGGACAGAGACAGACAGACAGACAGACAGACAGAGTCCTCCCTTGCACAAGTGGTGGAATGCATGCTATTTATTGTGAACGCAGTAGCTAATGGCATATGTCTGTGACTCTGTGGGTGTTATCAATAGGTATTGGCAGCTGCTCAAGCAGGCAAGCATAACTCAAAAAGGGAGAGTTTTGGCCACGCTCTCATCATTGATCCTTGGGGAAAGGTTATTGGACAGCTCGAAGGTCAGATCTCGTTAGCATGTACCATGCATCTCCCATGTAGCTGATGAGTTGTTTCTAAATTGGATATTTTGCAAATCGGATGTTAATATGTTATGCAAAGTAGCTGTCGCTCATAACATCCGTTAAAATTGGAACAATGTAAAGAAGATTAGCATGGCCCCTGGGGAAGGGAAAAAAAAAAAAAAAAACAGCAAGAAAAGGTATTAATAGCCGTATTATCGATTTGTCATTATTAATATGATATATTAATATATTATACTATTATCATATTACTTACATTGGGTACGTCAGCAGGCATCCTGACCCCTTCATGCATGAGCTTGCCAATGGTCTCACAGCATACGTTGCATAATAAAAAAATGAAAGAAGAAAGAAAAGCCAGGCAAGAATTGTGATTAGGCACCTGTGACCTTTCCTTTTGCAGAAAAGTTCTGATCCAGCGAAGTGGAACGATGCAGAGAAAGAAGATTAGCATGGCCCTGCGCAAGTAGGACACGCATAAATTAAGAAGTGGTCCAAATTTGTATGGTACGGTCATACGACGGCTGACGCACCCGATCCCACCCAAACTCAGTAGCCTAGCGTCGTTGGGCCGGAATAGTGCTCGGATGGGTGACCTCCTGGGAAGTCCCGATGTTGTACCTAGTTAAAAAATAAATAAAAAGGAAAAAAAAGGGAGAGGGAAAAATTTAAAAAAAGGTATCTGGACAACGTGATGACTTTATCGGAATCGGTGAGATTCATAGCGAACAAGAGAATGAACGCGGCCATCCTCTTCTTTGCTTTCGAAAAAGCATATGACCAGGTCAGCTGGCCTTTTCTTCAGCAATGTATGGAGAAAATGGGAGTAGGTCCCAACTTTCGCAAGTGGGTGAGAGTATTATACAACGATTCACATGGCCAGGTACAAGTCAACGGATATCTTTCAGATAGATACAAAATGACTAGATCAGTGAGGCAAGGTGACCCATTAGCCGCCCCCATCTTTCTCTTTATCATGGAAGCCATAGCTTCATTCCTTAGGAAAGACAATTCAATCGACCGTTTAATAGCAGAACCGGATCAGCAGGGGCGTATAATAGAATTACCCACCACGATACTATTCGCAGACGATCTCATAGTACTTATCAGGGCCACGGATTCCTCTTTTCAAGCACTCACAAAAGCGATGGAAGCATTCCAGTTGGCATCGGAAATGAGAATTAACTGGCCCAAAACGATAGGATGGTGGCTTATATACAACCAGCAGCCCCAGCAGCCCCAGCCCCCTGACCATGGGGGAATGGAGTGGCTACCCTCACACCAACCGTTGAGGTATCTGGGGATTAGGCTAGCGGACGAAGGCCCACATCACTCCATGGCCCCTGATCAAATGACCAAAATGCTAGCAAAGCTGGACGCATGGTCTACCATTTATACCTCCCTGTACGGGAGAGCCTTGGTCCTCAATGCCTCCATCTTCTCCATGCTATGGTATGCGGGCACCCTGTGGTCACCCCCAGGTTCAACACTTCGAAGGCTCCGAAGGGTTGCAGCAGCCTATCTGTGGACAGGGAACCCGACCAAGGATAACTTCATTTCTAAGGTAGCCTGGAAACAAGTAACACAAACAAAGAATCGGGGGGGATTGGGCATCCTGGATCCAGAGCAGCAGATTAAGGCACTCCAATCAAAATGGATTATCAAGCTGGTAACGCAACCCGACTTGCGCTGGGTCCCCCTAGTATTGGAGCACATACGAGGGCTTTCGAAGTTCTCAACTCCTCCAAATATGGAGGGCACCTTCTGGATATTCTGCAAAGGGTGGGCAAAAAGGGGTAGGCCAAGGGAGCGGGGGGGTGAGGAGGGAACTTCCTCCCCATCATACTGGGCACAGATTCTTAGGATATGGGAAGAGAGATTCCCGGCTAGAGTACGGAAACCCAGATCCAAGGAGGAAGTTCTCAGGCAACCCTTGTTCTGTAACCCCTGGTTACAGGATTCCCAAGGGAAGCCGAGGACACTAACAGCTAGGGACACCARATGGGGGAATTGGTTGGAACACGGGGTCTGGCAGATCAAGCACTTATGGTCCCAGAATGATAATAGATGGAAGACAGGGAGGGAACTGAGAACCACGATGAAAGGTTGTCATAAGCTTACGGAGAATCTAAATGATGTTCTAATCTCCATTCCGCAAGAATGGACGCAGTTGTTGAGAGGGCCGTGCAAATGGGAATGGGGTGATTGGGCGACCTGGCATATAAGTGCAGTTCCAGAGCWGGCCTTCCGGGTGCAGCAGGAAGTGGGCCCCGATAAACAGTGGCTTGATGCAGAGATGTTCGTAATTCGTAATCCGGGAATCACAGTGAGTCACCTGGATAAGGAATCCAAGACAGCAATCACAGTTAAGAAGTGCCTGCTCAGGAAGATCAGGGTGGTAGAGGATGACGAATTTACAGTATTTGCACCCATGGTGGCCATTGAACAGTTGGAGTACGACCCGGCGGAATGGGCATGGAATATTAGGGGTGGAGAGACACGAGTGACAACGAAGATTAACATTCTCCGCTATACAACGAGACTCGGTTATAGGCTGAGGAGAAGATCGACCCATCTGGACCTTCCCCTAGCCTTAAGATGGGAAAAGAGGGAGGGGATACCAAGAGACCAGGTGGGGAAGTTGCCCTGGTCGTCCCTTCACAGTATAAGATTGGGTAAGGTCAGAAGTCTACAATGGCGCATCCTCCACGTCGCCCTCCCAGTCAACTCTTGGTTGTATGAAAGAAGAAGCAGGCAAGCTAGGACAGAGGAGGAACGAAACTGTACCCTCTGTACAGGTGGGGCTCTGGAAACGATGGTCCACTGCTTAATCTCATGCCCGGAGGCAGAGAAGGTGTGGGCGTTAGCTCGCGCACTATGGTCCCGGGTCACGGAAGTTCCCTTCCCTCCGATCAGAGACAGACTCCTAATCAACATGGAAGCGCCCAGAGACTGGAATTCCTGCCAAAAATACATTTTCCGGCTACTGAGGCTCTACGCGCTGCGGACAGTGTGGAAAAGAAGATGCCAAAGGGTGGTAGGAGGGAATCATATGACTATAATGGAAGCCAGAGGAATAATGTAAACCTGCTGGAAACAGAAATCAGGGCACAATGGCAGAGAGCCAAGAAGCAAGCGGAGAGGCAGGAAGAATTAAATCCAGATAAAGCTAAGGAAATAATTAACAAGTTTTGGACTAAGGTTCTAGCAGGGGGCAAGGTGGCTTCATTGGAAGGGAAAGCCTTGCGCTTCCATTGGTTTAAGGACGATCTCCAGGACCCGCCATATGAGTACGAGAATGGGGACCAGGAGCTGGGACTACCATAAACTGCGGGAGGGAGGAGTGATCTGCAGAAGAAATCACAAAGGGAGGGATCCTCAGACCCACTTAAAATAAATCTAACTTCGCAAGGACAGGACTGAGATACAAACGGGACTGGGGCAAAAGAGAGGGAGCAGCAGGGAAGGGACGTACAGCCAAGGAGGTCAAGTATTGAAGGGGGAGAATAAGGGACAAGGGACACCAATTAAAGKGTCAGGGGAGGAAGCAGGGTTTAGGGTTTAGGGTTTTACAACACTTAAAAGGCAGAGAAAGGGGTTTTAGGGAACAGGGGGGAACACAGCTTTTGTGAAGAATTGGTAAAAAGAGGAAGGGAGAGGAGGGAGGGAGGAAAGGGAGAGAAGGGAGAGAAGGGAGAGAAGGGAGAGAAAAAAAAAAAAAAAAGGTATCCAACCCTGAACAGCGAGGCCCCTTGCTGCAAAGCCTATGGTAAAGACCTCGAACTGAGTAGTCTGTGGGGCTGCTTACCATACTACGATTATTTCTACCGAATGTCTGTCATCGGTTATGTATGTGTGCCCACTGTGTCGGCATCCCCATGTTGGAGTTCTCTCTCTTTTCCCTTTCAACAAGGGGAAACAATCAGAATTTTAGTGGCCACGCGAGCTCACAGCGAAAGAACCCTGGTGAATCAGGTCTGCTACATATGGTGGCTGAGGCGCGATCTCAAACCTACGGGGCAAGATGCCCAACCCTTCCTGAAGTACCTGTATGTTTTCCTTCCTTTATGACATTCCTAAAAGAACTTCTGCCATCCTTTCATCAATGTAATCCATGCTCGACATAACTAATTGCAATGATGTTCAGATATTGGGCAAAGAAGTCGTATTGTGGGTACGTGCCTGTCTCTTATACACATCTAGATGTGTATAAGAGACAGCTCATACACGTACAGTTGGGAGGCCCAACCGAAT